TCTTGTATCATCCTTACGCAACCCTTGCTTCATCATGGGATTTTCCTATCGCTTTCTGTTTTTACGCAACACTTGTGTCATCCTGTGATTTTCTTAACTCTTTCTTTTCTTGCGCAACTCTTGCAAAGCTCTTGCAAAACTCTTCCTCAAGTTGTATACTATATATAGCCGTTTACTTTCTACAAATAGGCGATAGAGTGGGAGTTGGATCCCACCTTTACGTCAGAAAAACACGACAAATGCCATTTCGAGCATCTAAGAAATTTTAAAACATAAACGGGAGATATGAAAAATGCGTATATCAAAGTATCTGTACAGTAACTGGACCTTCAACGTCTGTCGATATTTGGACATGTTTAAGAAATACACTGCTACAAGATTCACGGCATAATACGCGTTGAAATGCTGGCTTGCGTTTATATGCAACTACTTCATGTTTTTATGTCTTAACCATCAAGCATTCTAGGCCAACAGCTCACTGTTTTTTCAAAAGAGGAAACACTGTCTTTTATATATATGTTGTCGGGTTAAAACCAGATTAGGAGGACACAACATCCTGCTGTTAGTGGCAAACAATTCTTCTTCCTACTTTCTCATGAAACACCTTCTGGACATTGAAATTATGTATTTTCTTTTTCTTGTCAAGTGAAATCTATAAATTTCAGTTAGTAGTATACTTCGAGAAAATTGATGTAGATGTAAAAAGGAACTTTTTCAAAGACAATAAATTTCTATACAAATATCTAGTTTTGACAACGAAGGAACGTTGAAAGAAAGAAACACATTTTTAACAGAGTTTCTAAAAGACCTTTCATATGAAAACAGTTAGATGCTCAATGATGTCACAGTATTTTCTTCAATGGCTTGTGTTCGTCGATCTTGTTTGTTCACAATTTCAGTCGCTTATTCACGTTGGCGATTTCGGTACATCATTTGCACCTGCTGATCTAATTGAGTTAATAAATACAATCTCGGTATCATCACAAATCAGTTGTGCACAAACATGTAATGTGAATTCGTTGTGTCGGACATTCGATTATGATACATTATCTAAACGATGTCGACTATTTGAAGGTGAAATAACAACTGGTCAAGTGAATAGATCAGCAGCTATCCCACCAACATCAAGAGTTAGTAGTATTGCATATACACAACTACTTTATTTAGCCTATAACCAAACATGTGATCGATGTCAAGTAAATCGATATTTATTATGTATTAATAATACTTGTCAATGCCCCCCACATACATATTGGAATGGATCTATGTGTTTAAATGAAGGATACAACGCTTCATTATGTCAGAATGATGAATGGTGTAGAAATGAAAAAAATCTAACCTGTTCTTCATCTCATTTATGTGGTGAGTGTATACACTGATTTATTTTCAATTACTACCATCTAATAGATTCCACATGAATGAATCATTCCAAGATCAGGTCATGATTCTACAGCATTTATTTTGACATTTAGAACAAATACCGACGTCATCAACAGTGGCTACTTCAACTATAATAATGAAGTTTTATTTATTATCTTTAAACTCAAACCCTAGCTTTTGAAGTTGAGACAGTAAAGGTTAATGGAGTGATTTTCGAGTTGAAGTTGGTTAGTATCAGTACAGGTAGAATACTTTAATTCCTGCTGTGACACTTCTTCATTAAGGCCAATCGAACCTGAAAAAAATACTTTTGATAAGAGAGATACATTAGAAGAGGGTGGAAGTTGCAAAAGCTTTTTCGGAGATGTTTCCTATTTAGATTTTTTATTACTCAAAGTAAATCACAAAACATTTTGTTTTCTATGTTCTTTGCAGCTCAGACTTGTCTCTTCCCAATGAAAAAATAATTAACTCTTCTTCATCAGGGGGATCATGAAGAGATAATATTTGACATCTTGCAAAGACTTTTGCACCCTAAGTTAATATATGTAGTATCACAGGCACATCGAGAAAAATAATTAACAGTTACACAATAAATTTCAAAAAATTCTCAACACATATATACAATTTAGGTAGTGAAGCGGATGAAGATAAGAAAGAATAGTGAATATTTTTACTTTTCTTCTTAGTTGTTTTCTTATTTCTGTCTTCCTCTCCATCTACTTGTATATATGTGTTGAACATTTTGAAAATTCATTGTGTGACTATTGTGAAATTCATCGTGTAATTCTGAATTACTTTTCTCTATGTATCTGTTATCACTATCTATATCTGTTACTGTGCTTAATTTCTGTTGTGCTTGGTAGTGTTTTATTAAAACACTTGATCTGTCGGACATGTTTTCTTCTTAAACTTGTACACTCTCTATGTTTACGAATGAAACTATAGCAAGTAAGTATAATCAAGCAATTTCATTATCTATACATGACAGTAGTTTGTTCACAACTTTTCGAAAGAATTTACTAATAATTATGTTTAAATTATTTCTTAACTAGCCATTATCATTCTCCATCACATTCTTGTGACGCAGAATGATAAGTCTGTATTAGTATTATAGGGAGACGGCTCCTTGCTTTGTTTCTCGTCGACTGATATGAAGACGATTAAAAGCAACAATTGTTAATTCATCATCTAGGCTCAAGTTTGAGAAATATCTTCTTCATAGTGATAAGCCTGAGAAAACTCTGTGTCTGGCTTGTCAAGAATAGGAGTAACCTGTAAGAAATTATAAATATGTTAAACTGACTCTCTGTCACCATAATTTATGACCTGTTCAAGTGTTCAATAACATTCTTGGTTTTGTTGTGCTCATTCAAGCAGACTAATACACTATCATGATGTGGCATCATTACTACCGTAATCTCTTTCTTATCACGATCGCATTCAACTCGTTCTTATCTTCAAACTGTTTAGTACCAGATCCATCTATCGAATGGTTGTTTTTCGGAAATCCGAGGAAACTCTAGATATGCCTTCACTTTGTTTGCCGACTTGTACTGTGGTTGACTAATTCCATTCATTATAGAGCGATAAATACATTAACCTTCATGCAGTAAATCATCGGTGTTTGTACAGGCATGAACACCAAGTAACCTGATGAAGCATTGTATCATCACTGCTGTTAGTAGTTGCTGAGACATGATTTGGTACTTTTCGTTTTTGTCAACTATTTTCGTTGTTGGATCATTGAGAAATCCTGAATATCTTGTAAATGATTCTGGCCGAACCTTCCGTAAATGTTAGGTTTAATTTTCCCCAAGATTATTTAATGTACTTTAAACTGGAGAGATCGCGTTCGTTTTATTTTAAACTAGACATCTAACTACATGGACTGATCAGCGCCAGTTTTTGAATTAAGCCTTTATTGGTTTTCCAGGCAACCAACAACCTCCAAAACGCGCAAAATCCTTCGGTTTTTTTTCACAATTTGACAAGAACTAAGACCTAATTCAAATATCGGTGCCGGTCAGTCCATGTAGTTTTATTTCCTCTTTTATCTTTTATAGGAGAACTTGCGATCAGCACAACAACACGTAACACTGACGAGGGAACATATGTAAGTGTCCCCTTGCTTTTTCAACGAAACCTAGTGGGTTATAGGTTATCGATGATGCTGATTCCGAATATGGATATGAGAGCTGTCATTAGGGTTTCGAAAACCCGGTTTTCTGGGAAAACATTTTTTAGAAACTCTGAAAGACAATCAAAGCTTTTCTTAATAAGTCATGCTTGTAGCCGGTACATTTCTGATTAAAATGAGACCTCTCCCAACTCTACATGACCTTTCTTTGCAAAGTTATAGAATTTACACGAAGAGCCCTAAATTAATTTCTTCTTATTTCTGTAGCTTCGAGTTGACAATGAATATTATTTAGGGCTTTTCTTGTATACACTTACATATGTTCCCTCGTAAGTCTTTTCCTTGTGTTTGTAGGCAAGCAGTGGTATTACTTCGGCCACAACCACGGTAAGATCAAAAGTCTTAGTCTTGATTTCTCTTCTTTGATTAGTCAGTAAATATGAATTTTTAAAGGCAATAACAACAACAAATGCAGCTGGCTATTCGTATGTAGCTAGCATCAATTCAAATTGTCAACCATATTTGTGTGGTGAACGTTTAGACGTAGCAACTACTGCCACATTAACAAATATAACTATTATTATTATTGTTCAAAAAACCGTTAATGCTGCATATAAGACTACGACATACAATACTGCACGGTCACTTATACAACAAACGTATATTGATAATGGTACAACAATTACTTATATATGGACACTATTAACAGGAATGGTATTTCCAATAAATCAGTCCCCACTTACAGTTGAAGCACAATTTGATTTATATGGTACATCACAAAACACAACAGGAGATACGTTCAGTATCATAGCCCAAGGAAATAGTGTAACAACTATGAGCACCGGACATTTTTAGCGTACATTTAGTTTCTTTTTTTGAATGGATTGGAGGCTTTTCCATCTTTTTTTACTAAAGAAACAAAAAAGAGCCATTTATTTAATCAAATCTCGAAACCTTTTAATGAGTGGCGCCCTTCCAATGTAAAGAATTAACATGATGACTAGTTTTTAGTGTCGGTTAGTTGTTTCAAACCGACGACTTCTCTTGATACAATTTAGTGGCAAAAGTCTATACATATTTTTATTCGTAGAATAAAATTTTTGTTATTATCATTCGATAAACTACTTTATTTAATTCGCCATTGAGAAAGTCATTAAAGAAATTGTATCGAAAAAAGTCATCATTTAACTAGTAGCGCTCCTATTCCAACAGGCCTTAAGTGGTAATTTCTTTTTATTGAACTAATATATAAAAAAGCTAGCTAATATAGGACTAGTGTACAAAATTACAAAGCGATTAGTATCTTTATTCTCTAATTAAATGTCCGTTTATAGATTCTTTTTTTTCTTCTATACGAGTGATATTACTTTAGTATACAACTTGAGGAAGAGTTTTGCAAGAGTTGCGCAAGAAAAGAAAGAGTTAAGAAAATCACAGGATGACACAAGTGTTGCGTAAAAACAGAAAGCGATAGGAAAATCCCATGATGAAGCAAGGGTTGCGTAAGGATGATACAAGA